TGTATTCATGCACATTTTCCAAACTGCTATCTACTTGATCTAAACTAGATGAAGCCACATATGGCATTTGTGACGGGCTCAACAAACGGCTCTTCATGATCTCTTTCGTAGACATATTATTGTGATTTCCGTCCAAATTTGCCGATATGGGTCTGTTTGAGGAGCGGAAGGACAATCACCCACATACAAACCCAAGTCATTAGTAGACCCACCACGCCACATGCCATGATCTTATTTCGTACTTAAACGGGTTAATATACGGAATTATATGCGCTGGGCGATTTGGTGGAGGTTCATTCAAAGAACCGCCCATGGAAATTTTGAGTGGAACTCACAATAATACCGAACTGATCAGGAAAGAGCCCACACATACCTTAATTTCTACAGTATGTACATGGAGATGCTATCTATCATTAATACTTTAATGTAGAATATTCCAACTATCTCCAAAGAACCTCTCAGCGCCTTTGAAAATCCCATAAAAGGCTACAGAAAAAAAGAGCATGCTATGATCATAACATCGGTACTTTGCAGAATAGGTCTCACGTGGTTGATTGCACATGTAGTACCGTTGTCTACCGTACACAACTTGTTCGTGTATTACAAGATTCAGGCACTTAACTGAATGAAAACTATCAGCATAGGCTCTTGAAATTCAAGAGAGCATTTTTATATAATAAAATATTTAAGAATCCGCCAAGCATGTGATCCAGATACAGAACAAAATCACACGTCTCACAATCGAAGGACGAAGCAGAAATCAATCAAGTGGCCTCCCGCGACTCAGACGACAACCCTTAGTTGAAGTTACGCGCCGGCTTGCTCTTGTCCACTGGACAATGTCCAGTCGAGAGAGGCATGACAGCGTAACAAACATGTACCGCGCTGTTTACCGCTCGCTAGCGACTTGCTCAAGCTCGGAACTGAGTTCCGAGCTTGAGTTCCGGGAACTCCGCCGACCGCTCCACCGCTCACTTCCCATTTCGACAAGCCCCAAGCAAGCCTAGCAAACTAGCGTCTTACGACTAGCAAGCATGGCAGACAACTACGCCGAAGCTGCTTCCCCCAAGCCTGTCACGGCCTTCGACGAGGCTAACAAGGCTGCTGCGCGCCTTATCAAGCCCAAAGCCATCCTGTACACCAGTGCCCTGTTGTCGTGGATGCAGCCGTTCCAGAGCGGTTGGTCCACCTCGCAGATGAACCTGTCGCAGTACAACGACACGGACGAGTGCAATGCGCGTCCCGTGGCTGAGGACACGTGCCTCATGTTCCCCGGTCACTCGAAACTGGAGTGGACGTTCGCCGTGAACGCATGGATCTTCGGTGCCATGGTTGGTTCGCTGTGCTGCGGCCACTTCAGCGACAAGTACGGCCGTAAGAAGGCTCTCATGGGCAACTGTATCTTCATGATCGTTGGTGGTGTGGTGCAGGCATCTGTGTCGAACATTTGGGTGTTCGCTGTTGGCCGTCTGATCGCCGGTATTGCTTCGGGTACTGCTACGGGTACTATCGGTGCCTACATCAATGAGCTGTCGCCGCCGCACATGCGTAACACGCTTGGTCTGGGCCTTCAGATCTTCACGACTATCGGTATTTTGGTGCCGGCTATCTGCTTTTTCTTCGCCAACACGAGCTCTGGCTGGCGTTACCTGGCTGCGTTCCCCGTGGTGCTGGCCGTCATCTACCTGCTGCTGGCGCCGACCATGTGCATTGAAAGCCCTGCATGGCTTCTGACCAAGGGGCGCAAGGAGGAGGCCAAGCAGGTCATCGCTCGTCTGTATGGCGAGGAGCACGTGCAGACAGCTCTGTCGTGGCTTGAGGTGAACAAGGCTAGTGCCGAGGAGGGTCTCATCGACTCTACACCCAAGAAGGAATCCATGTTCAACCCGCGCTACCGCATGCAGCTTCTGGGTGGCATTATGCTGTCGTGCGCTCAGCAGCTTTCGGGTATCAACGCTGTGTTCTACTACTCCGGCAGCATCTTCTCGGACGCCGGTATCTCGGACTCGCGTGTGGGTACGCTGATCATCGACTTCATCAATATCTTCCCCGCCTTCTTCACCGGTGTGCTGGCTAACCGCTTTGGTGCTCGCAACATGATCCTCTGGGGTCTGTCGGGTATGGTGGTCATGTCCATCGGTATGACGGTGGCTTTCGTGGTGGACGTGTCTGCTCTGTCGATTGTGTTCACTGCTCTGTACGTGATCGTGTTCGGTGTGACGCTGGGTCCTCTCGTGTGGGTGATGACTGCCGACATTTTCCCGGACTCGATCCGTGCCAGCGCTTCGTCGCTTTGCATTGGTATCAACTGGCTGTGCAACCTCATCGTGGGTGTATCGTACCCGTACGTGTCGGATGCCCTGGACGACTACGCGTATGTTCCGTTCGTGGTGCTTCTTGCGATCTTCTACCTGTTGGCGTTGAAGCTGGTTCCGGAGACGTCGGGCAAGTCGGCTGAGGAGATTCAGGCCGAGTACGACTCGCGTCGTGAGAAGTAGGGTGAAGTAGTGTTGTAGTATTCGAAGCGATCATGCATTCTATGAAGCCATGATGTTTAAGTTTCAGTTAGGAATCATCATGATTGTCGAACACGTATTTTTTTTTAATCATCTGTGTGTACAAGTAGGCACACTGGTTACCCAAGGGTGGTTGGCATTTACTCGTGGCTGGTTATCATTCATGTTGTAGTAGTATCTAAGGAAATGGAAAACTTTCTCCCCGCTCTTTGCTTATTCAAAATCGATAGCGTAGTAAGTCAGCGGTAATGCAGAATTCTTGTCCATGACCAACCCGATGCTAACACGAAGCTAACGTTCAAATGAAACATAGAATGCGAACCTACACATGCTTTATAAGCGAACAATTGCAGCGATTGCAACGATTCCATTTACTTTGCTGAGATAATGAACTTGTAGCTTTCTGCGGACATCTACAAACCCACCGCAGCGGCGGCGCCGCTTTCAACTTGATACTAGCAGTAGGTGGAGATTATTTACGAGGAGTGGGCTCAAGCGAGAGGTTCTAGAAATGCGACTAGTAAAACAAAGTACATCTCACCTTTTATTCAAAAATGCAAAAAAGAAAACCGCACAGCTACAATCGAGCTCAATAAAACAGCATGTTCGTCCTACAACTACCTACTACTAGGTACCCTTACTTTTCGCGACGCGAGTCGTACTCGGCCAGGATCTCCTCGGCTGACTTGCCCGACGTCTCCGGTACCAACTTCAGAGCCAACAGGAAGAAAATAGCAAGAAGCACCAC